CAAACAGCCTAAGCTGGACTTGAGTTTATAGTAATCCTCCTGCCCCAGTCTCCCAAGTGCTGGGATTAGAGGCATGGGCACTGGGCAGCTTCCAACGGCTTTTTCTTGTTAGCTGTGCACATGTGCCATCTCCCCAGCTATACTCTGCTCCTGATGTCCTGTGACGGTCAAGATGTCCGGAAGAACCAAGGACAATGCCTCAGGGATACATTCAATAGGCTTTTTTTTTTTTTTTTTTTTTTTTTTGAGACAGGGTCCCTCTATGTAGTTCTGGTTGTCCTAGAACTCACTATGTCGCCCAGGCTGGCCTTACAGTCACAGAGATCCACCTGTGTCTGCCTCCTGAATACTGGGATTAAGGGCATGAGCCCTGTTCTGTAGAGGAATTCTAATTCAGAACATGGTTACTCTGGCAAGAAATCACATCTAAAGACCCTTCTAGGTCTGTGTGATCTGGCTGGAATACAAACACCTTTAATCCAGGAGACAGAGACAAGCAGATCTGAGCTCAAGGCCAGCCTGGTATAGAGCAAGTTTCAGGTAAAGAAAAGCTTAGGTCCAGGCATGGTGATAATGCCTTCAGTCCCAAACAGTGAAGGTAAAGATAGTTTGTAGGAGGGAGCACCCATGTTTGAAAGTGATGCCTAATTGAGTGGCAGAAACAGTGACAGATTCGATTTGACAGAATAGGACACACCCAACTGTCAAGAGAACAGGGAGAAACGGGAAGCTGCTTAAGGGAGCAACACAGAAAATGAGAGAAGAAGCAGGTTTTATTTTGTTTTGTTTGTTGTTTTTGTTTTTTGAGACAGGGTTTCTCTATGTAGTGTTGGCTGTCCTGGATTCCATTTATAAATCAGGCTGGCCTTGAACTCACAGGTCTGCCTGCCTCTGCCTCCCTGAGTGCTGGGATTACAGGTGTGAACCACCTTGCCCTGACAAGAAAGGAGGTAGTTTTACCAGGACAGATATACAGAGATGGGTTGAAGAGAGAACAAGCTAGATACAGGTGAAGACAGAATGATCCAGAGAACAGAGGAGCCAGAAGATTGCTGGGGTCAGTTTGAGGCCAAGCAGAACAATTCAGAGTCCGAGAGAAAATGAACTAGACTGAATAAATTAGCTGGGAAGGGAGTATGAGCCAGAACAGCTGAATTGAACCAGCCAGCCCAGAGCTCAGTGAGAACAAGTAAGGGCGAGCTTAGTAAGCAGTAAGTCTCAGAGGCTGGAAACATTCTAGGCGTGGGTTAGATTGTACGGAGGCCAGAAGCTTCCAGGACCAGACCTAGGTTAGCAGACAGAAGCAGTAAGCCTCCAAAATGACAATTGAAACAGGTGAATAAAAGTTCCTTTCACACTGTTCTAAATATTAATTTAAAAATTTTGTGTTTGTGTGTATATGTGTGTGTGCATGTGGCTGCAGACTCCAGAGGAGGCCAGAGGTGTTGGAAACGCTAAAGCTGGAACTAGAGGAAGTTGTGAAGCCACCAGGTGTGGGTGCTGGGAACGGAACCTGGGTCCTCTGCAGGAGTAGTAAGTAGCAACTCCAGCTCCAGGAGATCCAGTTGTTCTTTCTGATCTCTTTGGGCTCCTGCACGGGAGTGTGGAAGTGAGGAGGTGGAGGAGGGTCTCCGGGGAGAGGGAGGAGAAACTGACAAGGGAGGTGTGAGGAGAAAAGTGGCAGAAGAATAAAGAGGAAAGGCGGAGAGAGAACCAGCCACAAAGAACCTCTTGATTACTCCAATAAACGAGAACTCCAGCCTGGAGTAGAGACCACTAACCCAAAAGCCCACAGAGACCAGGAACAGAAAAGGACAGAGACCACTCAGTGCAAGGCGGGGACTGTGGCAAACTGCAGAAGTCACATGGGTTGGGGGTGGACTGGCTGCTGCTCTCTTGCGCCTGCAGGCTGTTGCTGTGCTGGACTACAGGCCCAGCATGGCAGATCTTCCAGCCTCCTATGAGAAGGTAGAAGCTGGGAGCAGTGGTTCCTGCCTGCAACCCCAGTACTTCGGCGTATGAGCTAGGAAAAAGATTGCCATGAGTTTGAGGCCAGCCTGGCTTGCACAGTGGGTTCCAGGCCAGTTTGAACCTCAAAAAGAGATGGTGTCGACAAGCAAACAAAACCAAAACAATCCACATAAAGACAGAAATGTGAGTGGGCAGTGGTAACACACACCTTTAGTCCCAGCCTTCTGGGACAAGTGGATCTCTGTGAGTTCAAGGCCAGCCTGATCTACAGAGCAAGTACCAGGACAGACAAGGGCTACACAGAGAAACCCTGTCTCAAAAACAAGCAACCAAGCAAGCAAACACACAACAAAATGATAGCAAAAAACAGATGTGGGTTATTTTTTTGTTTTGATTTTTGTTTTTTTGAGGGTTTTTCTGTGTAGCACTGTCTGTCCTAGATGTGCTTTGTAGACCAGGCTGGCCTCAAACTCACAAAGATCCACCTGCCTCTGCCTCCTGAATGCTGGGATTAAAGGTGTGTGTCACCATGCCTGGCCAGAAATGTGACTTTCTAAAGACAATTCAAATCTGTGACATCCTGTGAGCTAGCCAAGCATGGTGGCTCAGGCTTGTAATGCCAGTACTCAGGAGGCTGAGGCCAGCCTGAGCCACAGGGAGCAATGACTTTGCCTCAACAAAGTCAGATAAATCACCTGGGGATGTAGTGCAGAGGCAGGGCACTTAACGTGAGTAAGGAGTTGGCCTTGATTCCCCAGCACTATACAGTGATGGGCCAAAGCAAGCAGATCCTTTTGAGTTCTGTGTGCCCCATACTCTAGCCCTTTCTCAGCCCACATGGAGTAAAGGAGGCCCTTAGATGAAAAAAGAAAAAGGATTATAATGACCGAGCCTTGCTGGTCGTGGTGGACTAGGTCTGCATTCCCAGCTCTTGAGGGAGTGGAGTCGGGATGATCACAGATTTAAGATCTGCTTGGGCTACAAACCAAAGTCAAAAGCAGAAAGATAATCTGGACAATTTAGAGAGGTCCTGGTTCAGAATAAAGGCGGAGGAAGAGGAGAGAAGGGGAGGAGGAGAACAAGGAAAAGAGGAGGCGGAGAGGAAGGGGGAAGAAAAGGTATCGAGCACGCACGCACGCACGCACGCACACAGCCCCAGCTCAGGGGTGGCGTTGGTCTACAGTACATAAATCCCCAGGTTCAATCCAGGGAACGCAGAGATGTTAATTTCTCAGCTGAGTCTCAAAGACCAATGAGAGGAAGTGAAAGCATGTAATTTGAAATGGCTTCTTCAGACATTCGGAAGGTGACGGTGTCAGTGATGGGGAGTACTGGGTGACAGTGATGGGCAGTGGGGGACCTATGAGGCTGATCTGGAGTCTAGTATTTGGAGTCTAGGGTTCAGTTGGGAAAACGTGAGCACCTGGGGCTGTGACTCACAAGCTTTTAATCTCCGTAGCTGGAAGATGGAAGATAAGGGACTCAGGGTCATCTTGAGCTGCAGGGCAAGTTCAAGACCTCTTCCAGAGGTTCCCAGGCCCACCTCACCACCACAGCCACCTGTAACTCCAGCTCAGAGGACTCAGCGCCCTCTTCTGGCCTCCATGGGCGCTTACACACAAATAATAAGTCTTTAAAAATCTGGGTGTGTTCCAGACCGGCAGCAGCACGTCCAGCTCAAATCTAGCTTTAATCGGCATGTGGAAGAACGAATTTGTGCATTCCTTCGATACACTCCCCTCCCCACTGTTCCTAAATTTGGAAAGGCATAGAGCGGACGGACACTGTCTCAAGCCAAAGAACAGGAAATTTTAGAAGACTCCAGTTTTGTTTTTTGGTTTGTTTTTGAGACAGGGTTTCTCTGAGTAGCCTTGGTTGTCCTGGACTCACTCTGTAGACCAGGCTGGCCTCAAACTCATAGAGATCTGCCTGCCCCTGCCTCCTGAGTGCTGGGACTAAAGGTGTGCGCCACCACCATGGGGCAAACACTCCAGTTTTTTAAGCAGTCTGGTTTTACCTGCGATTATTTTAGAAATTAATTCCTTAAACAACCACTTGATTCCTCACTCACCTCGCTAACAGGCTATACTCGATGTTTGGCTCTCTGAGCCACCGGTTGGAAACAGACCCAACGTTTTGCAAAAGTAACTAACTAGGTTCTGATTTCCAGGAGAGCTGAGACCTGACTCCTCCAGAAGAGGCTGCCTCATGGAGACAGGAGGAAAGGTGGAATCCTTCATATCGTTTTCATGTCTTTTTGGAGGGCCTGGCCGTAGGGCAAGAGCCCAGAATTTTACACATACTGCCTCTGAGCTACAACCTCAGCTCATAAAGAATTCTGCTGCTACTGGACAGATGTCATGTTTCAAACTGTTTGTCCACGGACCCTCCCAGGTTGTGGAGGCTGTCCTTCTGGGTGTGGGCACAGGAAGTGGCCCTGAGAGGCTGCAGAGCACAGTCCCCTCTCTGGCACTGCATGGGGGTGTCCCAGGGGACTTGGAGAGGCCAGGGCAGTCAGGCAAAGGTTAGGGAGGAAAGCAGCCAGGCAGAAGCCCAGAGCGGCTCCAGGGAATGTTTAGATTTCTCCACCAGGAGGGAGGGCAAACAAGCTTTTTTTTTTTTCCTTCCTCCCCAAGCCTTCTGTGAAGCTCTGAGCATTTTGCAGCCCAGAGTGTGGAGAAGACAAAAGTAGAGAAGAAATATCATCCCCGGGGCTGGAACCAGCAACAGCCCTGCAGCATGCATCCTGTCAGACCCTGGAGCTGCATCCCAGAAATGCGCACTCATGGAAAATGGCTTGCACCTCAGAGCCTGGTCCAGCTGCAGGCTGCACCTCTGATGGGGACAGGCAGCTTGTGACCCAGCCTGAGGAGAAAGGCCGTGCTGCTGGCTTTCGTTTCCTGGCTGAAGTTTCTCTTGTGGGTACGTCTGCATCCCAGGGTGATGAGGTTAGGTGTTGAGCTGCTGGGGGCGAGGTAGTGTTCAGACAGGCATCCATCCCTTTGTGCCGGCCACCTGGGACACTCTCTCCGACTGCCATGGACAACGGGTCATGCTGTCTCATAGAGGGGGACTCCATCTCCCAGGTGATGCCGCCGCTGCTCATCCTGGCCTTCGTGCTTGGAGCCCTGGGCAACGGGGTAGCACTATGTGGCTTTTGCTTTCACATGAAGACCTGGAAGCCGAGCACTATTTACCTTTTCAACTTGGCTGTGGCCGATTTTCTCCTCATGATCTGCCTACCCTTTCGGACAGACTACTACCTCAGACGTAGACAGTGGATTTTTGGGGATATTCCCTGTCGCCTGGTCCTCTTCATGCTGGCTATGAATAGGGCTGGGAGCATTGTCTTCCTCACTGTGGTGGCTGTGGACAGGTATTTCAAAGTGGTCCACCCCCATCATTTGGTGAATGCCATCTCCAATCGGACTGCAGCTGCCACCGTCTGCATCCTCTGGACTTTGGTCATCTTGGGGACTGTGTATCTTCTGATGGAGAGCCACCTGTGTGTGCAAGAGACGGTGTCGTGCGAGAGCTTCATCATGGAGTCAGCCAACGGGTGGCATGATGTCATGTTCCAGCTGGAGTTCTTCCTGCCCCTAGCCATCATCTTGTTTTGTTCCCTCAAGGTTGTTTGGAGCCTGAGGAGGAGGCGGCAGCTGGCTAGACAGTCCCGGATGAGGAGGGCCACCCGGTTCATTGTGGTGGTGGCTTGTGTATTCATCACGTGTTACCTGCCCAGCGTATTGGCTAGACTCTACTTCCTGTGGACGGTGCCCTCCAGCGCCTGTGACCCCGCTGTCCACATAGTCCTCCACGTCACCCTCAGTCTCACCTACCTGAACAGCATGCTGGATCCTCTTGTATATTATTTCTCAAGCCCCTCGTTCCCCAAATTCTACGCCAAGCTCAAAATCTTCAGTTTGAGACCCGAACACCAGGGATGCGAGAACACACGGAGGTCAGAAGAGATGCCAATTTCGAACCTTTGTCGTAAGAGGTCTATCGATGTGGCAAATAGTTCCCAAAGGCCATCAGACGGGCAGTGGGATCGCCAAGTGTGCTGAATGGCACTAAGACAACCAGCCCCAAAGCAAAGGCAGAGAAACAGGCAACTGTGAGTTAAACTGTACCGAAGGGTGGGGGGCTTGAAAAATGCCACCACTCCTTCTCAGCTGTGTCCTTCTCGCTCACGTGGAAATGAAACCCAGTCACTCTATCTTTTCTAGAAGGTTCTAGTTGCTTGAAGGGAGTTGGTTGTGTTTAAATACTCTGATTGCTATTGCTACGATAAGGGGACAGTATGTATGTGTGTGTGAAGAAAAAGCACATGTGTTGGGTTAGGAACTATCTGGAGCCTGTGTTACTTTACATGGCTGAGAAAATAGGTGTGAGTGTTGCTGGGTCTTGTTTTTGCTCTGAGAGAGTTAATGATCTCAATAACTTGTCAGTATTTCCTGGACTTGAAAAAAAAAAAAAAAAAGAAACTGGACTGAGTCAATACACTTATTTCCAGCTGAGTGAGACCCTTTACATCAGGACACTCTGTCCTAGCCATTTTGTCATCTTCCCTGGGGAGCCTCCATATATTTAATTTTCAATGTTTGAACATCCGGGTGGCCCAGGAGGGCAGCAGAAAGACTCCAGTCTAACCTACCAGCTCCATATGTTTCTGATTTTAGGTGGTTTGTATGTTTTTCTTTTGTTTGCATTTCAAAGAAGGTGTCTACATGCTCCAGTTTCTCCAGTGGAAGCTGAGAGGCTGGGTCCACCTGCCAGGGTCCTTATTGGAGTTTGGGGCATGCTAGTTTCGTCGTGGTTGTTTTTGACGGCTTGATACATGAACTGAAGTTATTCGTTCACTCATTCTCAGTTCCTTACTGAACCCATAATGTATTGTGCTGCACTATCCCACATCCTTATCCGTTTTGTCTTCGGTGCTGGGCATCGAACCTGGGGCCTTACACGAATTAGGTGTAAGCACTCACCACTGAGCCCCGTTCCCGGTCCCCTTGTGCCCCCTTTCACTGTAGCATTGTTAACCAACTCTTAGGAGAAAGTAAAGTTCTAGGGGCGGCAGAGAAATTTCATCTCCTCTCCCTTTCATCAGACGTGTCTAGATTCACAGTCAATCATCAGGGGTCTCCTCCTACTGTAGGGACGAGTGTTTCCCCAAACACTACCCGGAACACTCACAACCACGTGATTCTGTGAAGTGACAGGCTGCTCCTGTCCTGGAGAAGGGAAAACAGATACCATGCTAACCTCCCCTCCCCTCCCCTTCCAAACCACAAAAGTGGTGACAGTCATTTTTTTCTTTTATTTATACTTTCTCCGATTCCCAGTGTACTCTCCCCATGCAGGGACCTTGTCACTTTTTATATCTTTAGCCTGAGACACTCTTCTAGGCTGTCCCTCTGGTTTCCCTTGCCAGAGGTATTGTACAGCCTAGTATCAAAAAACATGGTCTGACTTCGGGGCTGGTGAGTTGGCCCAGAGGGCAAAGGGGTCTGCCATCAAGCCAACAACCTGAGCATCCCTGAGACCCATGTGGTAGAAGGGGAAAACCGACTCCTCAAGGCTGTTTTCTGGCTTTCACACATGCACGCAGAGAGTTAATGCGATCACAGTTCTATAGGCTACACAGTCAAGTGGATCTCAGTTTGTGTCCTAGCTCAAATATTTATTGGATATGAGCTCTTAGGGAAGATATTATTTGACCTTTAACCATGCTCAGTTTTGATTTGTTCAACAGGAGTAAAACCGATGTCAAAGGGTTTGGGGGCAAGTTCAATGGGTGTATAATCTCGACGCATAAGGAAATCTGTTGTACTGTTTCGCCCCAGGTGCCTAGAAGAAGCCCACCTGCTTATAATTGATGGTAAATACACCACATTTGCTCAGTGACTATATTCACAGAAATGTGAAGCTCTGCGTCTGGCTGCGTGTCCAATAATGGCTTACTGTGTTACATGTGGTTTGTTGTTGTTGTTTTTAAGCTCGAGGATAATTTTATTAAAGTTTAAAAGAAGAAAATTCCAGGGCAGGCAAGCTGTAAATCTCAGCAAATGGAGGAGGGAGACAAATAGAGGAAGAGGGAAAGCTGTGGCTTTTGTCAACTGCCACAGAGTGGATGAGGAGCGACATGGTGGGGAGGAGGGGAAAAAAAAAAAAAGAGTAGAAAATCTCAAAGTGCCAGAGTTGGGAGGCTTTAGGCTCTGGCCAGGAAAGAAAAGGGGAAATTTATGCCTTTGTGAGCCAGGATTCAGAATTTCATGGTGACACTACAGTGTCTGACACATTCGTGTCTGAAGAAGCAGACACAGACGTCTGTACAATGGAGGTGCAAACCTTGAATCGAGGCCAGCCTGGTCTACAGAGTGAGCTCCAGGACAGGACAGCAGAGAGAAACCCTGTCTCGGAAAAAAAGAAAAAAGAAAAAAACAGTTAAGAGCACCCCAAGCAGCACCCTGTTGTCACAGCCTGACCTCTCCTTCTTAGGAAGGAGTCAAGCATCAAGGATCACATACCATTTTTCTTTTTCTTTTCATGATGATGATTTTGTTTTTGAGACAGGATTTCTCTGTGCAGTCCTGGCTGTCCTGGAACTCATTCTGTAGACCAGGCTGGCCTTGAACTCACGGAGATCTTCCTGCCTCTGCCTCCCGAGTGCTGGGATTAAAAGTGTGTCTCACCACGCCCGGCTGCCTTGCTGGTTTTGAACTTGAGATCTGCCTGCCTAAATCTTGGAAACTGGGAGATATTTCAATCAGTGAAGTGCCTATCACCGAAGCACAGGCCCTGAGTTCAGTCAGAACTCAGACGGTGGCACATGCTTGTCATGCCAGGGCTGGGGAGGCGGGGACAGGAGAGGGTCAGTGGCCAGCCAGCATGGCCGAATGGGTGAACCCTAGCTCTCAGTGAGAGACTGTCTCAAAAACAGAACGATGACCAAAGCAGACGAGGTAGGGGTTTGGTGAAGGTGACATGATGGCTCTGTGGGTAAAGGCACTTGCCACCAAGGCTGGCCACCTGAGTTTGATCCAGTCAGGACCCTGTGCAGGGGGAAAAAGAGAACGGATTCCTGCAAGTACATCTCTGGTGTCCACTTGTGTGTGTGTCCATGCATGTGCACGCGCACGCGCGCACACACACACACACACACACACACACACACACACACTAAATACATACATACATACATACATACATACATACATACATACATACATACATACATACGTACGCAATTTTTTTCCCAAAACAGGGTTTCTCTGTGTAGCCCTGGCTGTCCTGGACTCTCTTTGTAGACCAGGCTGGCCTCAAACTCACAGAAATCCACCTGCCTCTGACTTCCTGAGTGCTGGGATTAAAGGTGTGCATCACCTCATCGAGAATAAACATTTTTTTTAAAAGGTCATCCATGAGGAATGACTCCACAGATTGACCGCTGGTCTCCACATACTCTCACACTCGAGCACACACACACACACACACACACACACACACACACACACACATCCTACATGCAAAAATAAATAAATAGACATCTGTGAAAAAAGCCTGCTTTTAATTCTATCCTTAGGCATAATTTTTTTGCTCCTTTGTTGCTTGATCCTAATAAAATAGATTTTGAAAGAAAGTGTGTCTCTTATGTGTGACTCTAGCTTAGAAGAGTTTTCTAGCTTTTAGAAAACTTTTATGATGTTGCCCTCCAAGGGAAGGAAGTAAGGGTCCAATACTCAGAAGCCATGGCAGGCCCATGGACTGAGGCTCTTGCCACAGAACGGCCAGAGCAAACCGAAAGCCAGGGACATCGGACGGAACCTCAAGCAGAGCCTGGACCCTAGCCACACTTCCCTTTTGAAGCTGTCAGAGTGTGACACAGTCTGTCTTACCAAAAAGCGTTCTTAATAGAACTGGTGAGGGAGAGGAGGAGGGGGTTAGCTTTGTTGATGAGTGTTTTTTATCAGGAACAGGAAAATAATAGTTTTAGAGGAAATGATTCCCCTTCACCGGAGAAAGTCAATAGTCTGTAAGGATAACATGGAGGAAATGACAAGTGCCTTTAATGACAGGGAGTCACTGTGTAGGCCTGGCTGGTCTGGAACTCTTTATATAGAACAGGCTGGCCTCAAACTCACCGAGATCCACCTGCCTTTGCCTCTTGAGTGCTGGGATTAAAGGTGTTTGCTGGGACTGAGAGGTGGTTCAGTGGTTAAAAGCACCTGCTGCTTTTGCAGAGGATCTTGGTTCAGGTCCCATTACCCACATGGTGGCTCCCAACAGCTTAGAACTCTAGTTCTGGGAGATCCAACATCCTCCTCTGGCCTCCACAGGCACTACACGAATGTGGTGTGCCTAACTGAAGGCAAAACACTAATACACATAACAAATAAAAATTTAAAATGGAAAAGTCTTTGCCACCATGCCTTACCCTCCAACTAAAGGTTATGATGAGGCCTGATACATGCATAGTGCTTGGAGAGACTGGATTTCCGGCACATGAGGAGTTAAAGCAGCTAGAAAAGCTTTTGTACCGGGAGCAGGGACTGTGTTGCAAGGTCTGGCCTTGCACGCCTTCTGGGCCTTCAGCTCCAGATCTGGTTCCAGAATGATGCAAGACCCCAGTCTCCCAACGGATGCACCCATAGCTGCCGGGCTGGCTCCGAAGCCTGAAGGGTATAAGGTAAAATGGAAATTTTAGGGCCCTTTTTAAAGGAAGCATTGAAAAATCTCAAGATGGCACCAAGCATAGTAGAATATACATAAGGCCCTTATATATATATATATCATACATGCATACATATATACATACATATATAAAGATATATGTGTGTGACAGGGTCTCTCTGTGTAGCCCTGGCTGTCCTGGAACTCACTCTGTACTTTTTTTGGGGGGGAAGAGGGCATTTGAAACAGGGTCTCATTATGTAGCTCAGATTGGTTTAAAACTACAATGCCAGGCTCTCAGAACTACACTTTAAAACTAAAAACCCGAGGTTGCTCTCTGCTCTTCCAGAGGACCTAGAATCACACATGGCAGCTCACACAGGCACTCATGCAGGCAAAACACCAATGCACATAAAATAAAAAAAATAATAAACAAATAAACAAACAAACCAAAACCCCAGGGGCTGGGATGTAGAGCAGTTGTTAGAATGCTTGTTCAGTGTGCACAAAACTCTGGATTAAATCCCCAGTGTGGCATAGACTGAGAGTGAAGGTGTGTA